ACTTTGGATTTGGAGTTTTACAGCTTGAAGTTTGACTGTTTCTCTTGTGATTTTAACCATCTCTTTGTAAACTTTTAGTATTTTACTTTTGTTAGAGTTGTGATTGATCTCTAAATTGTGTAAAAAAAATTTGGTGGATTGTGGTTGCTGTAAACTCTTTTGATTAGATTGGGTTTAAATTCTTGTAGTTTTGTGTCCTCTTCACATTGAAGAGGTTTTTCCACGTAAACATTTTCTGTGTTTCCTTGTGAATGAATGTTATTTTCAACACATTGCTCAAGGTTTTGCTTAAGGTTTGGTGATTTTTTTAAAGTTTTACTAGTGTTTGGTGAACAATGGCGAAGCCGTGGATGCCCCCCTAGGCAAAAATCCTAGCTCCGCCACTGGTTATAGTATCTAATAATTTATTTCTTCTTTCAATCATTAACGCTAATTCAATAAACCCTAATTCTGTTTTCAAACAATGAAGACAAAATTTATGCAATTAAAAGAGTTTGATCAAAATCATGTAAATAAAATTATTTTCTTTTGTTATTTAATTCTCTTTCCTTTTTTACTTCTTTCGCACTTTTCCAAAATTTTAAGTTAGTTGATGATTCAATTATTAATTATTATTCTAATCTTGGAAATATAAACAAATATGAATAAATTCTCCCTGAACATTCATTTAAAACAAGAAGCATAAAAAAATAAATAAAAGGGTATTTTTGATAGTAGATGGGGTTTATAAAACAGTTTAATGGGGTAAACTAAAAAGTGGGGTCTTAAAGATAAAATGTGGGGGGCCAAAGTATCACTTAAATATTATGGATTCCAAACAATATTAATATAGGAGGGTCAAATTATAAACAAATAAACTTTGATAATTTTATCTCTAGTTGTTGAAAATGAAGAAATGTGTGTATCTTTTGAACGATATCATTAAAAAAGAAAAAAAAAAAAAAAAAAAAGCATATGTTAACCAATCCACAGTTCACTTGTCACTAATTATGTGCATATGGTGTAACTTAACGGGTGCTTGACTCAAAGTGTCTTTGTAAAAGGAAAAATCTTTACTATGAGATTACATACATATTAATTGAAAAGTTAATAGAAACTTCTTCAAACGTAGGGAAGGAATCTGTTTTTTTTTTTTTTTTTTATGCAATTTGCCAATTTAATGGCTAATTTGAGTGTGTTAATTATTAATTAAGAATCAATAACATGTCCTACTAAAATATATGGACGTTCTTAGAACTCCATAGAGCAAAAATAAGATAGAAAAAATCCATAAAGGATGTGCTGTGAGAAAACATGACCTTGTAAACAATATATAATCATTGAAGCTTCAGCAATTATCATTAATTTGGTCTAGTTAAACGAGGACGCATGTTTGCAAAATGGGTAACTATTATATAATAAATAACTTGAACAAGTCAAATATTATTTTAAAAACCTTAAGATGGATTAATCAAATAATATTCTGTACATATGCCAGATCTTTAAATAAGTTGAACTAAAATAAATGGTAGCTAATAATCTCTTCAAATTTTGTGTATACCTATATATTTAGTAGCATTCCCTTATATTTTAATGGGGTACATGGTTCATGAATTTGGAAAATCATTATTAAAAAACATGATGATAAATGAATAATAGTTTTTAATAGTTATCAGTATGTATAAATATATGATCCCGATCATAAAGACACAATAGCCAGACTCAAGAAATTAAAGTTGCGTTATATTCTGGAGCAAAAAGGTTACGTGGATGAAGTTCGTAGGCTCAACGTGCTGAAGGCACTGCCACAATCATGGCAATGGAACAGCCAATCCTCCCAATGTATATGATCAAAGCTCATATCCAGACACTTACTTTCGTATGACAAATACCGAGCACATGACCCAGGTCAAAACAAAATGCAGCGCATTTGTAAGAAATACTCTTTTCTAGATATTTTTGTTTTTTAGTTTGCTTGCTTTTAATATTTTCTAAGTGTTATATATTCAAGAATTGAACAATTTTAGGATTGAAAATAACCTATTCATATTTAATGATTTCAGGTGATAAAAGCACGATAAAAAAACGATACACTTACACAACTGAAGAAGTTTTGAAAGAGAATCGAACATTAATTCAACAAGGCACCTTCATAGATACTAGGAAGATATGGCGCAACATGATACCAGAGCTAGGCAAGGAAGCTGCAACCAAAGCCATCGAGGAATGGGGCCAACCCAAGTCAAAAATCACTCACTTAATTTGTTGTAGCACCATGGGAGCATTCATACCTGGGTATGACTACCAAATTGTCCAGCTTTGGGCCTTGATCTAATATTAACCGAGTATGTTGTACCAACAAGGTTGTAATGGAGGTGGCACCGTACTTCGTATTGCTAAAGACCTAGCTGAGAACAATAAAGGTGCTCGTGTCCTATTGTATGCAACGAAATAACTCTCGTCGGCTTCATTGCCTACTGAAAACCGATGTCGATCTTCTGTGAGCCATCTTTATTTGGATGGCTCTGAGCTCTTAGTTGGTGCAGACCTAATTCCTGGTGTGAAAATCCCATATTTGAACTAATATCTACAGCCCCAACATTAGTGCCTAATAGCCCTGGGGCTATTTGTGGGAGTATCGTGAGCATGGGCTTACGTTTTTATATTGGGAAAGAAGTTCCTGACCTTATTTCAAACCATATTGAGAAGCGACTAATTGAGGTATTCCACCCTTTAGGTATCACGGATTGGAACTCAATCTTTTGGGCTGCACATCTGGTGGGCCGCGATTTTGGACCAAGTGGAGGCCAAGTTGGGTCTTAAGCCAGAAAGTTACATGGACTAGGCAGTGCTTGCTGAGTATGGTAATATGTCAAGTGTAACTGTATGTTTATTTTGGATGAAGTAAGGAAGAAGTCAACTGAAGATGGGTTGAAGACCACAGGAGAGGGATTGGAATGGGGAGTGCTTTTCGGGTTTGGTCCGGGCTTACTATTGGACGTTGGTCCTTCACAGTGTTAACATTGCTTAGGGGATCCTTTATTGCTTTACTTTGCTTTCTTTTCCCCTTTTTTTTTCCTTTTTCCTTTTTCCATATGGTTATTCACAATAAAAGTATGCAGAAATATGTTCAAAAGAATTATGATTTTAAAATTGTAAATCATTTTCTTTATCATAAATAAAATATCAAAAATAATTTAGTAATGCTTTAATTTTCTTTTTCCTAGAGCTTGAAAAGTTGAACATATTAAAGTATGATTCTACGTTAAAAAGTGTACGTGGTTATAATAAAGTACTGAGAATCATTGTCATAAACTTTTATAGGGTATCTAGCGGTATAATCGGACAGCCTTAACTTGGTTTGTCTTTCCAATCCAAGGTGTCTCTTGTAGGGCTGGAGAGCTTTTCAGTTGATTACTCTTGTTAGGGTGTCTAGCGGTAAAGTTGGAGATCTTTATACTTGATTGGTCGGTGTCTAGTTTTAAAGTTGAAGAACTTTTGTTCTTCGTTATAGTTGATTTTTAGTTATCAAAGATATAAAATCTCGTCACATATAGGGAAGATTTGGCACATTGCCCATCATATTTTACCTAATCTGTACAGGATCTAAAGACACATGACAGTTTCACCATCTAACGGCTAAAATTAATTAATTTAATTTTTTTGTTCTTTTTTGCTAGTGGTGAAGCCAAAATTTCAAGCAAGCGGGGAAGGAAATTCACTGGTGATATAATTTGAAATTTTAAACATATTAATAAATATTGAAATTTTAATTATTTTATTCAATAAAATAACAATTACCCTCAACAAAATTTGATGTTTTAAAGTGATGATTGTCAATATTGTTAAACACATTAAATAAAAGAAATCATATCAACATAATGAAAGTTATAAAGCTACTAATTTTATAAAAAGTAAACTAAATTAAACAAACCAATTAGAAGAGGATTTTTATACTAATAGGATATTTTCCCATATTAAAAACATAAAAATCAAGTTTGGGGAAAAATATTATCTTTTGATTGGCTAGTTCAGTGTTCAATCCATAGAGCTCCGCCACGTCCATCTGCCCACATTCTGCATATAGTTTTTATTTTTTCCCTTAATTTATTGGAATAGCATGAAGATATGCTGATTACCCACACAGCAGAAATGAAAATTTGCGGATTGTTTTGGGGAAACAGAGGAAGAAGCTGGAATTCATTGTATTCCAAAATTAGAACATCAAAACTTCTGAGAGAGGTATGATGGATCGTTTGATTTTATATATTGTAGTTTCAGCTACTGTTATGATTAACAAATAAAAGCATATATAATTCTTTCCAACAAAGTTGTAGTTTCATAGAACTTGACCATGGAAAACCCGCTAACATCCTCCTAATCAACACCAACATATTTACTTGATAATAGAGTTTTATGGTTCAACTGTTGGAAATTTATTGCACAAAAACTGTCAATGTGCAATAGATAGTTGTCCCTTGCTGAAAGAATTTGTGCTAAAACAATCTGAAACGTCTTAAATGTCTTCAATTTTTCGCTTAATCATCAAATCTATTTATATATATGCTAAGCACAGCAGTAGTTATAACAGATTCCAAGTGTCACGGGGTAGGAGTTTCATACCCAAAATGTCACGGGCTAGGAGTTTCATACCCAAAAGGCTAACCTATTAGGTGGAAAAACTCCCCCCATTTATAAGCTCAAAACCTCCCCAATACGCTTCCAATGTGGGATTTGTTACATTCTCCCCCACCCAATCCTGTGACACCCTCGTCACAGGTAGGGCCCCCTGCCTACCCATCCACCTCACTCTCGTGTGAACCCACAATCACGCGTGAACACCCCTGCGTGGACGTTTGACGGGACATCAAAAGACAGATTGGGTCTGCTCTGATACCACTTGTCACAGGCTAGGAGTTTCACACTCAAAAGGCTAACCTATTAAGTGGAGAGACTCCTCTTATTTATAAGCTCAAGACCTCCCCAATACGCTTCTAATGTGGGATTTGTTAGACAAGGCGTTCAATCAATTTCCAATCACCAATTTACTTCTTATTTTTTAAATAAGATTCACTGAGCTAATATAGAGACAATCTTAACTTAAAGATTCCACATACACCAACCACCGAGCAAATATACGTGATGTTTTTGCTTTCTTCGTCTTCATCTCGTGGGGAATTCATAAACACAATAGTCTTAAATCTTATTTTGTACATTAAGCTATCACCATTATTACACCAGCACCCCTTTACTTTAAAGATAGGACAAATACATGCTACACTCATTGAGCCAACAATTCCTTCTCAAACAAACTAAGCCACGACTGGGTATGATGCACAAGTTGCAACACCTACAATCAAATAATCAACATCAACGTCAGCATAAAAGAACTAAAGGCTGGTTTTCAACAATTCCTCATCACATTTGTTAGCTTATCAACATAACTCAAAAATGTGACTCAGACGCTCGGTTTAATTATCTACATATTCATAGAACCATATCACTAAGACTTTTAGAAAGTAAATGAATTTAGTTTTCTGTAGTTGACATCATATTTTAGGTCATCTTGGCCACAAGTTAATTATCAATGATCTGATGATCAGTTGAAATATCGCGCATGGCTCAACTAGGATGAGATCATTGTTTTGACAAAGACAATTTGGGTAGTAGAAACTTACCACACATGTTTTTCCCCAACTCCATCTTAAAGTAGCCATTGTCACCCCAGCTTTGCCCCCAAGAGTTCTTAATCAGCCAAAATGGAACACCATCTTCAACCCCATACCCCACTGCAAGAACTGCATGGTTCACATCCTGCCATAGAAACTCAAAGTAAGTTAGAAAAGCAATAATGCATCACATTATAACTTCTATTTTCGGTGCAGAGGTGAGTGACATTCACGTAAAAGAAGTTATCGATATTAACTTTCATTTGATTCTTACATTTAAGACATTAAAAACAAACTAAAATCCCTTCCAGAAATTTGAAATTTTTAGCAATAAGCCAAAAATATAAAATCTCTTAAACATATTCTCTACCTAAATAAACCATCGTTCTCCAAACCAGTAAAACTCACCATGGGAGTAGAGCCGCATGTGTCGCTGGTGTAAACTCCACTCTTGTAAAATCGGAAACCATTTACCACCTGAAATGCCACACTCACTGGTCGAACTGAAGCAACTGCATGCTTTAATTCGTCTTCGGCACCCTGTATATATGTATATATATGAAATGAATCAGTAACCTTATATAAGTATCTCTAAAAAGAAAAACAAAAAAAACAAAAAAAAAACCATCCAGAACCCCAACTCTAGCTCAATTCATTCTTTTCCCAATACTGAGGCAGGTAATATATAAATCAACTATGAAACAATTATAAGCTATATAAAGACGTGAAGAACCAGGGGTCCACAAGCTTCTGGACCTGAAATGGACCCTGGTCGGTTTGTCTTAAACTGCAAGCCTATCAGAAAATCAGGCAGATTTGGATATGGTATTGAATACTCTACCAGGGTAATGTTGACAGAGTCCTCGACTTGGACACCAACATTTTCGGATGAGAATTTGCATTCACCATCTTTACCAGTGTATGGATATGCCGCCTCGGTATCAAGGCCACCGTTGTATTTGATGTATTCGAAGGCTTGCGACGGCAACCCACCACTGCAACCAAAGTTATTGAAAGCTTGGGCACAGTCCACAAGCTGTTGTTCTGACAAAGAAATTTGCTTTCCAAATGCCTGGTGGTAAGCTGCCTCAAGAGCTCCAGTTGTGCTGAAACACATAAAATATTGAATTGGAGGTCATTTACAGAATGATGCCATAATTGACAACGTGCTTAAATCAGTTCAATTTGAAATTACCTGAAGGTCCAGCAAGATCCACAGTGGCCTTGATCTTTCACTGGGCTTACTATGCCCACTTCTCTCCAGTCTTTCTACACATACAGAAATAGAGAACCGGAAAAGAAAAATAAAAATCGTAATCCAATGAATTCCAAACTAATCTCAATGAAGAAACCCGGTTTATTGAAAGGGTGAAGAATTTATAGTAGCTCCATTAAAGTACCGTTTCGGGAAGGGCATCATCTGTAAGCTTGTGATTGCCCTTTAGGGTAGCCGAGCAGTTTTGTGCAGCTCCCAACCTGTGTCTTTGGAATTCTTCCCATGTCCAATCAGCAAAGTCTGTATGTTCACATTTAATTAAAACTCAGCATATTAATACCAATTAGTAACTCCAATAAATATGCCCTCCTTCAATTATTTCAGCTAGTGAACATCCAATATAATTCATCTACCCTAACAAACACATGATTAACAACATGACAACGTGTGGACCAGTGATAGATCAACGGTCAGTGTGAGTAAGACGACAGAATGTTAGCTAAGAAGACAAACACACACGTGAAAATTAGATCACACATGTTATAAATGACCAATCAGGTGCCTATATTCCTCAAATCTGACGGCTCATATTATTCCAAAAGCCTGGGAATAGTATCGGCCCAGTATACTTACCACCATCACCACAATCTACATGAGCATATCACTGTTTGACCAAACATCTAACGACAGGTAATGGTCAAGTAGCGATGCCGGGCCAGTACCATAACTTAATCCTTAACAGAAAAGAAAAAACTTACGATTTACGCCGAGCTTGTACGAAAGGCCCTTTCTGTTAGTGGATCTGATTAAATCCAAGTTGTCGGAGAAAATCTGAAATCGGAGTTTCATCTCCTGAACAGTCTCGTATTTCTTCTCAAACCTAAACAAAACCATTTCTTTCAGAACAAATATCATAATTAAACGAATTTAAAACCACCTGAGGCAGCCACAGCACTAACCTGTGAGCAAAACGCGCGAAGGAGAGGGCGTGATGGCTGTGACCGATGACTTGGAGGATAGAAGCCTCCAAGTCAAAGAGGCCGTCGGACACCAATCTAATGGGATTGGAGTCATCGAAGCTGGATCCTGTGGCCACACAGGATAGTAACAAGATGAGGGAGGACACCAACGTTATACGAGCCATGTTTCTCACTGTCTGTCTGTGTGAGATGTTGTCCGAATATGTTGGGGATGAGCAGAGATGGTAGGATGAGTGAGTTAAATGAAGGGAGAAGAGATTCGATGTCGGGGTAAGGTTAAAATAGTCAAGATTCCACTGGACACCTGTAGGTCAATGTAAGGTTCCTTTAGCGTATATAATGCTGCAACAAGTGACGTGTACAATGACGTGGAATTCTTCTATGTCGTTGTAGTGGTGATCATACTGATAATAACAAGGGTATTTTTAACTTCTTAGTTTGCGTCATTAATAATAAGCAGTAATGTGTTTAAAGATTTTCGAAGCTAAATAATTTTAATCAACAGCATTAAAGTTACCAAATTTTTAACTAAAATGAATTTGTTAGATTCAACATATATAATAGCAAATTTTACATTTAATTGAATCTAATCCAAAACTGAAAATGGTCAATTTAAGATAGGGTTTGAATTCTCCTATATATTTTGGTCCATTACCATGTTGTGTGGTAGTAAGAGTCATGCTCTTTGTATCCATCTTCCATTATGATTTATTATTAACAGAGGACAAAAATGTGGGCCTGATATTTCTAAGATTGAGTGGACACAGTGAGTTTAGTCATTGCTAAATTTAACTTACTCCATGGGTCATGAAAAAATCTTATCAAACTCACATCAATTATCATGAACTAAACTTAATAATAGTGTATATTACTAATAATAAATTGAGATAGTATGTGAAAATATAACTTTATTACTCTAAAGATAAAACGATTAATCGTAACAAAGACGTTTAAAAAACAGAGTTATATATAGAGTTTATTATGTCAATTATTTATACATTAGAATTATTGATTAAAAGTGGTAGGCACCCTGAATGGTTGACTAGGATAGATATTAATATCAATTTGGATTTGTTAATTGCATTGTATTCTACAGTCATACAACCGTGTCTCTACTAGTCAAATGTTTAGGTATTGAAAATGAAGAAATTTAGTTGTAAGGATTAGCAGCGTTTAAATTTACAGAAAACTATTTTGTGAGATTGTTATATAAATTACTAATTTTAAAATACTTGAACATACCAATTTCAAACTTTATTGATACTTTTTAAACATTACTCTGATATTCATATTCATTTGAATTTGAGTTTGAGTACCTACTAATAATAGGACATGGTATGAATAATGTACAAGTTAAAAGATATCGAATTTGACTAGAAGATACGTGATTTCTATATTTTCAATTGATATCAATAAAACTCATTAAAATATTTCAATAAATATTGCCCAGTAACCCAATTTGAGGTTTTTAATCTTTTATTTTTGTTTTCAACCACAAATTTAATTAACACCCACGTGTTATGAGTTGAATGACGACAAAATCAACTACATTTAAAGAGAAGGCCCAGATATTTAACTTCAACACGAAGCCCAAAATCTTGGGCTGCTCTAACGGGCCGACGAAAATCTCAACATATTTATTCAACTAACAGTCTAGGGGGGTGCAAAAGGTGTATCGATGCTATGATTTTAAAAATAAACTATTACATCCAACTTTAAAATGTATGATTTTAATTTTTCAAAATTTGGCAATTTTTTTTTTCTTAATTTTAGAAACCTGCCTTTTGAAATTGATATAAGAATAGGAGTCCACATCAAGACTAGGGATTGGCACAGACTAGGCCGGGGACCCCTCTCTCTGGGTCTAACCCGAAAGCTCAAGGGGATTCCCGAATCCAGTCCAATCCCCTAACGGGGAATTCGGGGAATCCTTGTAGGAATGTGGGGAATCCCGAGCACATCCCGACCCACCCCAAATTGGGGGACTTTGCAGCCTTAAGCCTACCTTATTTTTTTTTTCCAAATTATTTTGTATATCATCCAGAAAGAAATGAACTTAAATTTATAATGTATATATTAAACATAAATTTATTGACCATCATAATAAATTTAAAATATACAGCATCATCCAAAAAGAAATGAACTTAAATTTATGATGTAATATATTACTATATTACAAATTTATACTCCAAATTTACATGGGAACATTGGAACATCACCCACATCACACTATCAAGTTCATTATAATGTAATATATCATTTATTATAATAAACTTAAATTTGATTCCAAATTAACCAAAAAGAAACAAGCCTTCTCAACTCACAAGTCAAAGAGCAGCCAAATAAAAAATAAAAAAACGTCACTCATATTTCATAAGGAGCCAAAAGGACCCCACATCACACTTTCAAGATTCAAGAGTAACACCCAAACCACATCATCTAACATTCCATGTGCAGCCCACAAACAACCTAGACAAATTTTAAATTATTACATACCCACAAAAAGTCTAAAACATATTCAATTACATACTATTAAAATATTAAGATATAAAACTTGTCACATAAGAAATCCAAAACTTTTCAACAAAAGCATCAATATCATCAAAATTATGCTACTTCGATTTTCTCCTAAACAAACGAAAATATAAATTAAAGGATATTTAAGTAACATCTACACAAATTTTAACTATCATACCTATGACTAAAGAAAAGAAAAGAAAAAGATTACATTACAAATCTATACTACTTCATCGTCTTCATCATTGTCATCATAAATTGATGAACAAGATCCTTGTCCTAGGCCTGACATAATAGTAAATGCAAAAAATAGACATTAAAACTAGCATATGTTAATAATTTTTTTTTTTTTTAACTTTTAGTGTTGAAGAAATAAAAATTTCTTTTTGATTACCTTTTATGTAAGCCCATTTCCAATTCTAAACACATCAACGTCTCTAATGTATCAGAATGAAGTCTGTTGCGATGTAGACTTGGTATGTTGCTAGCAATGCTAAATGCAGACTTAGAAGCAACTGTGGACACGGGAACAACTAGGATATACAACTAGGATATCTCGAGCAATCCTTTGTAGGATAGGATATTTAGCCCCATGTAACATCCACCAAGTCAATAGATCAAAGTCTAGAGTTCTAGGAATAATTTTTTCCTCTAAGTAACATTCCAACTGAGACTTTTCTTGGCAAATACTAGATTCTTCTTCTAAAAATCTATCTAAAGTAGCTAGTACTCCCATTCTTTCAAACTCAGCCTGAGAAGAGGTACCAAAGGATGCAGTAAAAGATTGTTGTGTTTGACAGCTTTGATGGTTACTCTCATATTGAACATACAAATCATTACATAATCTCTGGATCCTCATAATCTCATGTGGACCATCCCTTCCACAGATCAAAGGAAAGAAGAAGTCTAACAACTTAATTTAAACCTAGGGTCTAAAACCATTGTAATCACCACTCCAATACTTGTTTAACTTTTCATCCATCTGAGTCGTCATCTTCCTTATCAAATCATCCCCATCTGTGAGCAAACTAGTCACATGAAGTCTAATTTCACATATCTTGGGAAAATAAGTATTGGCAGTGGGAAATTTCGTTCCAAAGAATATGGGTGTGGTTTCATAAAATATTTCTAGCTTCTCACTAATCTTTTCTACAAACTCCCATTCTTCATCACTTGGTAAGCATCTAAAATTTGATTCATGATGCTTTAAGCGCCTAAATACCCCTTTATAAATGAAAGTTGTTTGAAGCATCAAATATGTTGAATTCCAACGTGTCATAGAATCAAGACCTAACTTCTTTGTGCTTGAAATGCCTGCTTGACGTGCCATGTCAACAAATTTTTGCTCCCTTTTAGGCGATGTCGTCTAATAGGAAATAATCTCACAGATTTTGGATATTGTTTCTCCAATCACCGATAAGCCATCCTGAACAATTAAATTGACAACAAGTGCAACACAAAGCATATGAAAAAATTCGCCATGTAACATAAGAGCGGAACGTTGAAGCTCTCTTAAGATATCTTGGACAACAACATCAATGGTAGAGCAATTGTCAACCGTCAATGTGGACAGCTTCGTATCAATATTCCACTCATAAAAATAGTTTATCAATGCCACAGAAAGTACATCTCTAGTATGTGGGCAACGCACATGTACAAACCTACAATATAAATTGCAGATAATTAATATTTTAATTTAGCTAAAAAATCTACAAAGAAATAAGAATAATGAAACATAAAAATTAAAAACATAATACCTCGATTATGCAAGACCCAATTATCATTGTAAAGTGTGCGATGATGGTCATATATCCTTTGTTATGGTTACTGGCAATCCACAAATCAGTAGTGATAGCAACTCTACTCCGGTTCTTTCTTAACATTTTTATGGACTTCTCATTCTCAACTTCATAAATCTTCATAATGTCCCCTCCAATAGTCCTCCTAGAGACAACATTAAAGGAGAGTGAAATAGTGTTACAGAATTTTCTAAACCCCATATCATCAACCATGCTCAATGGATACTCATGAAGAATAATCATATTTGCAAGATCACATTTCCCCGCATGTTGATCAAAACGGTAATTGATTAATGTCTTTTGGAGTCTTGTTTTTGCATCCCCGTAAGCATCATTTATGATATATCTTGAATCTTTCGCCTTGTACAAATTATATGATGATCATGCAAATGCCTTGTTCCGTTTTTAGAATGACTGACAAGTTGTTGGTGACAATAGTTACACTCCGCCTTTTCCTTGCCATCAACTAAAACTTTTTTGAAATGTAGCCATATAACTGGCCTAGACCTTCCAGTTCCAGTAATGCAAGTATCCTCTTGGGAAAACGGGGGAGGGCTTGAATGGGGACTATCTATCGGGATTGGTATGCTAGTTCCATCAATTGGAGATTATTCTTGGTCATCTTTACTAGGTGGAAAATTCATGTGGGAACTCACAATAGATACTTTTTTGGATGCCTCAGAATATTCATTGATGTCCTCTTCTAAACCCTTTCTTTTGATTGATGTTGACATAGTGTAATGTAACCTATTAATAATCTGCAGATAACACTCACAAAAGAATAAAGATGTTAAAAAAAAAAAAAAAAAAAAAAAAAAAAAAAAAAAAAAAAAAAATCTGAAAAAAACACTCCTACAACAATTTAAACAATCTACAAAATTTGCTAGATAAAGATGTTAAGAATTTGCAAACTGCAGTTTCCATTTGCAAATTGTTTGCAAACAACCTA